CCAATGGCCCTTTCTCTTCTGGCCTACCACACAAGGCCTTATTGTGGCTCCCTTTTCCGCAGTATTCACAGGCTTCTCTTTCGGCGCATGTTCCAATATGGTTCTTGAGGCAGAACCAGCATCCCTGACATCTCTTTAGGATTTCTTTTCTTTCACTGGCGATTCGCACATTTGGACAATTGTTGGGTTCGTGTTTTCCCTTGTCTTGGCAGAAAACACATATAAGAGGATTCCCATTGTCGTCCATTACTAGCGATTGCTCGTCTGCATAGATTCTGTCGTTGCAGTCGTTGAAGGTTTCGAGTTTGTTCGATATCGCCAGAAGTTCCATTTTATCGTCAACTCTCCTTGGGCTTTCTTGCCTGCTTCTTTTGGGCGGGGGGCTCCCTTTCTTTACGTGCTGGCTGATTCAGAATCCGACTCAGCGGTTCTCAATGTGTCCGTCCTTGTCCTTTCATTTTTCTCGAGTGCTTGGAGTTTGACCAGTTGCTGTATTTGCGCTTCGGTTATAACTTCCATTTTTGTTTCGATGGCTTCTTTTATCTTTCCTAAACTATCGTGGAGGTCTTTCTTCATCTCTTCGAATTTGTTACTGACATCTTCTTTAATGTCCTGAACCTCCTTTTTTAGTGTTTCCAACTGGGTATCGTACGTGGGTTCGCCTTTCCATTGTTTCCATGGCTTCTTCCATCGTGTTTCGTAGGTCGTCCAAATTCTTCTTTTCTTCTTCACTCCTCTCGGGTTGCTGGATGAAGCATTTAAATTCTTTTCCAATCGTATTCCTGAATTCATTGGCTAGTTGCGTGAGGTGCATGGCTTCGGAGTCTATGATAGCTATTGTAGTATCCAATGAAATGGGTCGGTGGTCGGGTGGTCTCGCTTTGTGTTCGAAATTCCTTCTGCTTTGTGGAGAAGCGAATCCAGACTCAATTAATAACTCGTAGACGTCCCACAGTATTCTTGCATCTCTTTTAAGATACGACATCGCACACACTAATTCCGTGGTCTGTCTTGTCCAGGCGCACGCTTCCACAAAAAACTTTTTATCGCATTCCTCGTTCTCGATGAGTGTGGATCTGAGGGTTTTAAACTCCTGAGTCACAGCCTCGCAATCTTTCAAAATCTTTCCCAGAAGGAAATAGTCGGCCTCAAGGGTATTCTGTAAATCTCTTTCTGTCAAGGCTCTTCTTGAATTCCTGTACAATCTTTCCATGAATTCTCTGGCTTCTTCGTTTGCCGTCATCCTGCAATGGTTGTTTTTTCTTTTGATTATCTGGTTTTCTTCTATCTCTGTAATTATTACATTGATAAAAGATTCTTCTATGTTTTCTGAAAACTTTAGATTATTTTGTTGTCGTAGGTTGTAGCTGTGTGTGTTTTGTAGATTTTGTTTGAGTTGGACTTGTTGGTGGACCTGCGTGTAGCTCCAACGGAACTAGATGGTTTATTGGTCTTCTTAGGGTCCTCCTTGCCGATGTTCTGACTTCTGCTTCCCGCGGTATTCCGTTCGTGAGTCTTGATAGTTTTTCTATTCTTCCCATCCTCCAAGCGTTGCGGGGCTGGGTCTGGTCCATTATCAAGACTATCTGTCCTAGTTCTGGTGTATGCTGATTGGACCTTCCCTGAACGATAGTTTTCTTGTGGAAGCTCCCGGAGTTCGATGAGGTAGGTTTTGCTCCATATATCCCAGAATTTCTTGGTGTATTCGTAGGACTTCTTCAGTGCTTCTTGAGCTTCTTTCCTTGTTCTTAATTGTGATAGTTCTTCTGGTGGTATGTAGTCTTCGTCATCTTCTTTTGCAGCTGTTTGAGTTCCCGTTGGGTGTGTAATGATGATGTCTTTCTGCATAAAATCAATCGGTCTCAGGCCTTGGATTTCCTCTAGGTTTTCTTCTTGGTATGTTAGCGGCCGGTTATTTAGGCTTGCTTCGACTTCTGTCAAGAATGTTTGTAGTGAATCCATGTCCAGTATCTTGTTTCCGATCGCTTTGTACAACGAACGTTTCACTGATTGGATTAAACGTTCGTAGAAGCCTCCTTGCCAGGGGGCATAAGGAGTTATTGTTTTCCACTGGATTTCTTTGTCAGCTATGAATCGTTTCGTCTCTTCATTTCCTTCGAATCCTTCTATGGCTTCTATCAGAATTTGATTTCCCAGTAAGAATGTGGGTGCGTTATCCGAGGTTATCGTCTCCGGCACTCCTCTTCTTGCGAAGAATCTTCTGAGAGCGTTAATGAACGTAGTTGCTCCGCTGTTCTTGACGAGTTCAATGTGAATCATTCTGGTTACTGTACATGTGATTATGCATCCATATGCTTTCATAGGTTCCTGTTTTTCTTCTCTTGTTCGAATGGGTCCGAAGTAGTCGAGTCCTACGTGAAGAAATGGTCGTGTTCTTGTTACTCTTCTCTCTGGTAGGTCGTCCATGTCGGGATATCGGAACGGTAGATTGTTTTGTTTCTGGCAAGGAACGCATTTTCTAAGGATCTTCTTGACTTGTTCACGAAGTCTAGGTATCCAGTACTGTTGCCTCACATTGCTCATTGTATGTGAGAGTGAGCAGTGTAGGTTCCGTGGGCTTCTTTGATGATTAGTGAGGCTAGATGCGTTTTCGGAATAATGATCACTCCGGTTTCTTTTGTTCTTCTGATAATAGACTCTTCCCTAGGCGTCCGTTGCATCTCCACACTCCTTCTTTGTCTTCTTGGATGTTTAAGTTTCTCATGTTTTCTTTTTCGAGTTCTTCGCGGTAGTGTCTTTGATGTCCTTTTATCACTAGCTGCTTTGCCTTCTTCATTTCTTCTCCATTTATCTCACCTTCTTCTTTCATTTCTCTTAGTTCTGGGATTCTTTCCAGCATCGTTTCCGTTCTGGTTGATGGAAGGTTCCTCGTTATCTTCTTGATGAAGCGCATAATGAGAACTGTTGTTCTTGCGAGGCTTGTACCTGATCGCGTTCTTGTATCTCTGTCGCAAGAACGTAGGATATCTGGCCTGCCGTGTAAGTTGACTGCTGTTGGTCCTCTATTGGCGAATAGTTGTGCGGTATTCCACCAGTCTGTTTCCTGTGGTCCCTTTCCACCACATACTGTCCTCCATGTCTTTGGCCGTCACTCCTCTTGTACCTAAATCTGCTGGGTTCACCTTTGTATTGATGTATCCGAATTGAACCTTGGTATTTTCCCTTTCCAGGTTTTCTGTGATATCCGCTATTTCTTTGAGTCGGTTTTTTACTAGGACTCCTACTTCTTTCTGGTTGGCTTGGTTCTTTATCCAATTCAAAGCTATTTCAGAGTCCGAAAGGAAATAGATTTTGTCTATGATGATTTGGTCTTTGAGTTCCTTGATGGTAGTGAATGCTAACCGAGCTCCCATTGTTATCGCGTTGAGCTCCATCTTTGGTATCGTGTGGTTCGCCTTCAAAGATGGGAGTCTTGATTTCGCTATGAGTATACTTTGCGTGTCGGCATTTTTGAGATATACTACTGCGCACATGGCTTCGGAACTGGCGTCCGTGCATACTAGTAGTTGGTGTTTGAGGTTCTTGTTTGCTATTCTTCTTGGGACGTATTTTTCAAATCCTTTAGTGTCCTCTGATATTCTTTTCCAGCCGTCAACGTCCTCTTGTGATAGTTTTGAATCCCACTTGTAGTTTTTCCTCCATAGTCGTTGGAAGAATAGCTTCGTTTTGATGGTAAGTGGAATTAAGTATCCCATCGGGTCATATATGGAAGCCATTGCGCTTAATACTGTGCGTTTTGTGTGCTTTGTGAGGTTTAAATTTTTGTGTGATAGAATGAAGGCGTCTTTCTGTGTGTTCCACGTAATTCCCAATGTCGTTGGGTTTGTCTCCTGTGATCTGTCCATGTCTTTTATTTGAGTGTTGAACTTTTCATCATTTGAGGTGAATTCGCGGAGGTTCATATTCAATTTTCAAAGAGATTCTTCACCTTGTAATATTTCTCGATTGCTTCCTCAGTCGATTCTGCTGTCATAAACAAGTTATCGACATACAAGTTGTTGTTTATGTCGTTTGCGATTTGTTCTTCTACTTCTTCGTGTTCTACATGGAAGCGTATCGTTGCTGCCAGCAAGAATGGTGATGATTTGAGTCCAAACGTCACTCTCGTGAATCTATAGACTACTATGTTCTCTGGTTCTATCGGTTTATCGATGTCTTTTACCCAGAGACATCTTGTGGCATCTCGATCTTCTTCTTGTAACCGGACCTGTAAAAAGGCCTTTTCCACATCTGATATTGTTGCAATTTTTCCTGTTCGAAATCGCATGATCATACCGATTATTTTCGGAAGTATTAGCGGTCCCTGATATAACGCGTCATTGAGAGATGGTTTTCCCTTATAATGGGCTGACGCATCGAATACAATCCTCATTTTTGTTGTGGTTTTCTTCGGGGTGATGACCGCTTGATGGGCTAGGTAGTGTGTTCGTTTTCCTCGAATCCATGGTTTTTCAACCTCTTCTAGTATGCCCTTATCCAGCTGTTCCTGGAAGATTTGGTCATAAGCTTGTAAAAAGGCGTTATCGTTTTTATGACTCTCAATCACGGACCTCAATCTTCTTTCTGCTATATATCTGTTGTCTGGTAAGGGTTCCTTCAATTCTCTCCATGGCAGTTTCACATGGTATCCATCTTCTGCCTTTATGATGGTTCTGTTGAAATTGTCTAGAACTTGACGATTTATTTGCTCCTTCTCTTGCTCTTTTGTTCCGGTGTATTCTTGCAATCCTGAAGATTCGAGTGTCCAGAATTGGTCCCATTTCTCCCTTTCTTCTTCTTGAGTCAGAGTTATCGCCAGTGGTTCAATCTGTTCTTTGCTAGATTGCTGCCCAGATACCATATGGCCGAATTTTGTAGCTATTAGGTGCAGTCCTGATGGGAGTTTTATCATGCTGCCACTCATGACTTCCCAAAGTTGATCGCACCCTAGCAGAATTTGTGGAGAAAATGGGTCCTTTGGATACGGGACACTGATGCCTCTGCTTTGAATGAACTTCCAGTCTTCCTTCTGAAGTTGTGGTTGTGATTTTGATTTGGTAATCACCCTGCTTTTAAAGAGATTCATTTTGTGCGGACGATTTTGTTCTCCTTTTATTTCCACTTGAATCTGCTCGTAGTCGTTCTGTTTGGCTTCTTCTGAACCGAATGTGGTGATACGGAGAGTCTTTTTTGCTATAACTGGTAGCTTGAGGTCGTCTGCTAATTTACTATCGATGAACGATAGTTCTGACCCTGTGTCCAAGAGTATTCCGACTTCTCTGGATTCCTCGGGTCCTTGTATCTGTACGACTCCACTGAGGAGGTGTGTGGTTTTGCTGTCTCCTTGGCTTTGCTTGGTCTGCGGAATTTCTTTGTATGGCTGATTGCTTTCCTCTACCTCTTTTTCTTGTTCCTCCTGTGGTTCGCTGTACTGTGTGTGCTCCTCTTCCTTGGCTTCAGCGGCTACGCAGTTTTGCCGTGCTGAATGCTGTGATGAGTGAGCCGTTATGTTTTCCTGCCTTTGACCTCGTTGGTTTCTTTGCTGGCCTGCTGTTCCTCTGGCCACTGCTGGCTGAGTAGCTTGACTTTGTTGTCTGCTCTCCATGCTTGCCTGTGTAGTTGGCATTTCTATTTTTATTCCGCATAGGGATGAATGGTGTTTTCTTCCACACTTTCTACAGTGCGGGCTCTTACATTCGGCTATCATGTGGTTTTTCCGTCCGCAGTTTAAGCACATATTGTTGCGTCTGAAAAACGCGATCCGTTCATTTGGAGGTACTTCCCGGCACTCCGATGCAGGATGATTTGTCCTTCTGCAGTATAAGCAGGTGGTGTCAAATACTTTGTTGGATGTTTTCTTCAGCCACTGACTGGAGTTTTCTTCTCCTCTCCCTCCTTGCGTGAATTCTCGCATTTCCTCTACCAGCTCTCGCCTAGATAGGGTGTCTTCTATGACATTGCTGAGATTATCCCACGTCCAGGAGTTTGACTGTGTCATTTCGGCTTTCTTTGTAATGATTTTCTCTTGAATGCTTTCCTCAAACTTCCTGGTTATCTGGGTAAGGAGTTGTCTATGGCTGACGTCTTGGCCTTTGTTGCGGAGTTGGGTTACCGTCGTGGCTATTTCTTCGAACAGCTGCCTTTGCGCTTTTGTTGTTCTTCCTTTACTTTGTATTTTCTCCAGTCTTGCATATAGCTGTTCGATAATAATGTCGTCTTTTCCGTAACGCTTTTTGAGCCATTCTATGGCTTCTGTGTATCCTCTCTCAGTTATCTGGAATCTGCCGATTGTCTCCCTTATCTCTCCTGTTAGGGCCTCTAGTAAGTAGTTGAATTTTACCACTGCTGGGATTGCCTGGTCGTGGATATTGTGCTTAAAGAGCTGCCAAAAATTTTCCCAGTCCCAGGTTCTCCCCGAAAACAGCGGCACTTTGATTGGCGGTAGCTGGACTGCTGCTGGTGCGTACCTTCTTTGCCTTCCTCTAGTTGTCCTGTTTGCATTTTCTTCCTCTCTGGTTTCGGACTATCTCTTCTCTTAATGTTCTCCTTTCCTCCAGCTGCTGCTGCAACTCGATCTCTTTGTCTGCCAGTTCGTCCAGAGTCTCTTCGACTTCTATCACGATGTCGGTGGCCATGTTGATCTGATTGCTGATGTTTTTCTCCTCGGCTGTTCTTTCTTCCTCTCCTAGGTTGGTGGCTCCCTCCTCGAGTTTGCTTATGGCTTCCTGCATGTGCTTCCTCACTGTTGAGAGGCGATGTGCTTTTTTCTTTATCTCCGTTATCCTGTTTTGGATGAAGTTGATTGCTTCTGCCCGTCCTTCAGGTAGTGTGTAGTCCTGTAGAAGGAGTCCTGAGGAACTTAATAGCCGTGTTGTGTTTGTTTTTATTTTGTTCATATAATTTCATGGCGCTGTATATCGACATCGTTATGTGTTTTTTGCGTTACAATGCTTGTGTTGATAATATTATTGTTGAAGGCAAATCAAAAAAAGGCACTAATTGAAATGAAACTTTCTTCTTTAAAAATTCACTCA